CTAGAAAATTAGGATGCCTGCAGATAAAATAACATACACATGCATAAAACAGTGTCTTTTTGGTACCTTGTTAATAAAAATGTAAGGGGCTCCTGTTCTCATATGCTGTTCCCCATATGATATCAATTCCCTCGTGCTTTTATTTGCCATCAAAGTTTTATTTGGGAGGTTACTGATACCGGGAAAAAAGTTAGACAATTTAAACTGGTTCAGTCTACTTTTTTTGCTGTAGACCATCGTAATAATTTCAAATCAATTGAAAAATGAGCTAGACAAGAGAAGTTGTCCACGTGGTGCAAGTAGTTGGTCCTGTCGAGTGTTTTTAGAAGTATTCAGTTGCAGATTTTAGGATAACAGTAATTAAAATACATAAGAAACTACTGTTGAAGATATCTTTGAGAATAGAAATCTATACCTATTTAATACGCAAGCAGGATTTTTGTGACAATAAATCCTCCGAAACTACTGAACCGATTGACATGTTTTTGGTGTCATTGGAAAGAGCGTAATGTGAAGTTGTGCAGGAATCTTTCTTTTTAGGGAAATAATTAGAGAGTGAGGCCCTGGAGTCCTTAAAAGTTTCGTATTTCTCCATATGATTAACATGGGAAACAAAAATTGTTATGAAACTCCAGCTGTTGTCAGAAATTAAAAGTGAGAAGAAGAACATATGTTGATTGTAAACATTCAATAAGTTTGCTAATTTAAAAGTTAGCTACAAACAAATTTTTGACTTGGTTGAAATGAAATATTTACCATTTGAATTTGGGTTGGCATAAATATTAGAATGGAAAAAAGTGAGAGAGCCTGGATATTTTTATATACTAAAAAGAAAACTGAATTAACAATATGCTGAATTTTTTAGTTATCATTGAAAGACCTGATTTGCAAACTATTGGAAACATAGGAAAGTCATAGAACACCACCAAGGAGAAGATATGGAAATGTTTTTTTTTATATAAATTATTTTTTTTTACAATTTACGGAATGTACGTTTTTGAAACAATTTTATCAGTAAAGGACAGACTTAATGATTTGGAACGAGTTGGGGATAGTCATCATTATTTCACCAGAAATCGGGAAAACCTTGCAATTGGCCACCATAGTCTAAAACTTTTTGAGAAAAAACCCATATATGCGGGATCAAAGTTTTATAATAATCTCCCAATCGAAATTAAATCAGAGACTTCCAAAACAATATTTAAAAATAAATTTAAAAGATTTCTCATCAGCAAGGCTATTTTTTCTTTTGAAGAGTTGAATAGTCTTTGAGGTCAAAAACAAATTCAGGATATGTATTTTTTGTTTACAATTTATTTAAAAAAATGTAAGTTTGTGAAATTTTATTTTTACTTTCTTATGTTTTGTATTTAATAAATAGGCCTACTTGCAGCTAACCTGTTGACACTATTCAATGTATTTTGTACAAGAGATGAATAAAGTAGTTTTGAATTGAATTGAATTATAATTGTTATTATAGACAACCTAATGTTGCTATGAGTAAGGCTATTTGTAGAAAACACTGAAAAACAAGATCAGCTTTTGAAAAATGATAAGATATTTACATGAAATGTTGATTGTCTCGATCTGTTATATACATCTTGAGTATTTACATAATCTTTGATTCGAATCTTTTAAAGTCATCAGAAATTATGGCTGTTATTCGTTTTAAAAATAACGCCTGTAATACTTAGCAATTGCTCGAATTCGAGCAACCGGTACACTAGTAGCCTTTAAATTTCTGTCATTGTTAACTGAAAAATAGGTCATCCAAAACAACTGGAGGAATATAATAATATAATATGACATTTATTTTTGTTCCAGGCTCTCAACAAGTATATACGAGCTGGAAAAGTTCCGACAAATAATGAGGTAGCGAGAAAGTCACTGTACCAACTTAAACTAACAATCTGTGGTTATTTAATGCTCTTGTTATTTATTTACAATTTTATTCAATGTGATTATTAATTATATTTATATGAGTGTACAAAATATTTATCGTCGGTTCTTGGGTAGTCATGTAAATTGTTAGTGTAATATTTTAGTCCTATGTAAATTGTAAAATTTGTAATCAAATATTCCCTGAACCTTTTCAAACAAGTGTAATAGACGAATTGCAGTAGGTTATGTAATGTATGTAATATAAATATGTCAATTTCCAGGTAATATCAAATAGAGTAATTACTTAATTAGCACGAAATGTGTCTTTGCAGCATTCAGATCACTCTAGAAAAGAGTGTAAAGTAATATATTTTAAGAGTAATCTTTTTTTTAGTAATGACATCCTTTTGTCCAAAGTATACCTACTAAGCAAATTATCTGAAGAAATATTTTTTTGAATTTATTAACACTGTATTATGAGATGGAATCTTCAACTTTAGAAAGGTATTTTTCTTCTTCTGAACAGCTATTGTGTAGGCCTATCTTTAACCTAATCTAGATGAACTATAATCATTAAGATCATTTGCTTATTTTCTGGCCTGCCTGGCATAAAATAAGCAACAAATCATTAAAAAATTACAAACTCAGGGAGTAGTTACAAGAAGTGGTAACATATTTGTTTTTATAAAATCCTGGAGACATAAATTTTAAGCTGTATTGCAAAAAAAATATCTTAAACCTTCTGTTACTAAATTAGTTGTAGAATATAAATTATGTTGTAAAATTTAAGCAAATAATCTGGCAGATTTTGAAAATATATGCAAACATTAGGAGGAGTGTTTCTTTGTCCAAAATTATTGTTGAAAGTGTACGTCATTTTAGATACATTGTATTGTTGTATCAAATTGTAATAACTCTATACTGACTTATCTAAATTTTATTATTTTTGATCAGCAAACAGTATTGGCTACAACTGTTTGTGTTTTTTTTATACATTCTGATTATTTTACTTAATGTGAGTTGAACCTGAAGATTATTCGTCTAAGGTGCTCACAATTTCTTTTTAAGTTTGCAAATTTTAATAAACCAATTCCCTCGATGTGTACAAATTACAAACAGTTTGTATTTTTGCCACTGGCTGTGATACCAATGTCTATTATCTATTGTGTCGTTTGTAAGTATTTCAATACATATACTCCGTTCACAAAATGTAGGCGGTTTGAGGGGTAAATGTTTCAATCCCCTCCACCTCACTGCAACATTAAAACCACAGCCAACAGCTTATATTGTACATTGGGCTAAAATAGTGGTGGAGAAACATTCCCCTTAAACTGCCAAAATTTTGTGAACAGGCTATAGTTCAATATATACACAATATAATTTAAAATATTAATATTATATACACTTCCCTGAACATATGTAACTTATATTATGTACAGATTTGTGTTAATTCAATATATTGTGTGTGCGGTGCTGTTATTACTGTAGATAGCATTGCTTTATTTCTTAGCGACTTAAAACATCACACATTTCTACTTATTTCTTATGTTAGCACTTTAGTATAGTTTTCCTAAGATTGTTTTGTTTTTTGTTAGTCATTTCTTAAATTGGTTTTCTGTAAATTGGGAATTGTTTTTTATTTAGTTTTTATCGGCACAAATGTTGTATTTTATTTTAAATAAATCTATGTTTGTGATAAATACTGTGCATAACATATTTCAATTTCCCTTAGCAGATGTATTGTTGTGACTAATGTATTATAACTAAAGCAGTTTTGAAGAACTACATTCTGAGGAATCCAACTGTTATAGTCAACGTTAATACCCTTTTTGAGCAACTCTCCGGCATTTTGTTAGGTATCAGAACTCTAAGTGTTCCTAATTTCTTGTCTCTCATGCTCACTCTTATGCTGTACAAAGTTGACTCTATCACCGCTTTGATTGTCAAGTTTGAACCAGCCTTAACATGCAAGAAGTCCTTTAGTTAATCCAACAAGGACATCTCTTTTCACCCCTCTCTTCCGTGTTCAAACAAGAAAAGAAAACCCTAAATTTTAAGTCTAGTATGAATGGAGATGAGTGTAGGATGAGTGGTGCAATCTTGTAGTATTGTTAGTGACTAAGGCTGACATATTCCTCAGACACAGCTGGTAATTAATACCCCATACAGCTAATGGCAACTAAGGGGCCTAAAAACTTTATTATTCTTTATATCAAGGCAACACTAAATAAATAGGCCGTAATGCTCCTCTGGCATGACGTCATCATAGGCGACTTCAATGACGTAATGTTATTTTTTTGTTTCCAAGAAAAAATTAAAACAAGAAGCTGATCACAAACGGCAAACATTACGTCATTGCCATTGCCTGTGATGACGTCATACCAGATGAGCATTACGGCCTGTTTATTTAGTGTTGCCTTGTTCCAATCTAGCAAAGCATATGATTTTGCCTGTCCTAAACCATAGACAAAAAGAATTAAATATAGATCGTCAGCCGTGCTGCGGTTACCATAAGTTCCGGTGCACACCGCTGGGAGCGCCGTGTAGTTACGTAGCGCTAACGCTGTAACTACATGGCGCTCCCAGCGGTGAGCACCAGAACCTATGGTAACCGCAGCACAGCTGATGGTCTATATTTAATTCCTTTTGTCTATGCCTAAACATTACTTTTCCTAACCCCAAACCAAGTTTCCGTATATGCTCAACAGGAGCACTAAAGTATGTACTATTATATCATAAGTTATTGAGAGAAATATTCTTCAAACAGCTGACTTTTAGATAAATTACAAATGTGTATTATGATAAATAACTTAAAACAGAGCTACTAGACTATGGAATATTTTAAACCAAGAAGATTTGTATTTTTTTGCATTATGATGAAAATTATCGTTAATCGCTCGTCACAAAAGATCCATTCCAGGGCTCAATAGTATAGTAATAGTTTGAACCATGATTGGCTTCTACTTGCTCGTAAACCACTTTTTTGTCCTAAAATGGGACTAAAAGTGAAAATATGCTATTATTGATTTAATATACCTGCATTGCAGTGGATAGAGAGAATTGGTTTACACATCCTAGATTCGGATGATAGATAGAGGCAAACAAAAGTAAAAATGATAAAAGCTTTTAGTATTTATTTTTATTTGTAAATTATAAAACTAAACAATATCTACAAAGATTACAAACAAGATTCTTTTTTAATAACATCCAACAAAAGGTTCCACTCGGTTTTTGCGCATGACAAATTTGATCTTTCTATCCATGTCTTCATTGTATATTGACTTACACCTCATGTAGTTCACTCGTCGACGAGTCTAAAAAATGTGAATAAAAATATTATATTACAAATAAGCAGTGTTATCAAGACACATAGACCTACAGCACAGCACTTGTTTACTAGTACTAGTACAGTTACTATTTTTGTAATGAAGTTGCAAAACAAGACTAGCGGTGAAGTTGCTAACAACACAGTTTTTTCACTGATTGAAGAAAAACTATGAATTGAATTGATGAATTAGTGAGCCTGATTTGTTTCAGTACTAATTGGCATAAGTGTAACAATGCCACTGAAAATACTTGTATTATTAGTGATTCAATATGATTGCAGTGGCAATTAACTTCGGGTCACATGGAAAAATCACCAGGCTTCTTGAAGACAGAACATTTTTTTATTCATATGAAGGTTTTTATATAGCTATGTTAGTACTGTACACAAATTCACAAAACTCATACACACATAACTAGAATTCATGACACAACATGTGGGAATTTAGGTTACCGTAAGTCTTGGACCTTTGCTCTAGCCAGTTCATAAATGACTAGTTGTGTCATGTTTATAAGGGTGAGGTAGTCTTGTGCGTTGAGTCCGTATTGTAAATGTGTGTAAGTTAAAGGATAACAATATGACAAAATGTGTGTTAAGTTATAGGATAACAATATGACAAAATGTTTGTAAGGTAGAGGATAACAATATGACAAAATGTGTGTAAGTTATAGGATACCAATATGACAAAATGTGTGTGAGTTAGAGGATAACAATATGACAAAATGTTTGTAAGGTAGAGGATAACAATATGACAAAATGTGTGTAAGTTATAGGATCACAATAGACAATGTTAGTGAAGCAATGTCTGAATGTTAAGTCTGTGTGATGTCTGATGAAGTCGAAACTAGTTTCCACCACTACCAAATAGGATTCCATGTAATGCAGATAATTAAACCCTTGGCTACCTACCTACAAGAAAATACCCCCGCTGCAGCAAACCTGCCGACTAAGTGAATTTACATTTGTCTGAATTGATTTTCAATCATATCTATTTCAATAGCATTAGGTTAAATGAGTACCTAGGTTTGCTGCTGCAAGGAAACTAATGAAGTGTGGTTTTTAGTCAAATATTAATAGCTTATTTATAAAATCAATAAATTTGCCAAGTTTGATCAAAATATATCAATAAAATACTACTTTGTAAATTAAATTACAGACGTTTAAAAACCCAATTTTGAGCGATTTTTGTCAAGTTTTCTCCCAATATTTATCACATAATCATCTATGAAATAACAAACAGCTGTTCGGACCAAGATTATTTTTTCTAGCTGTCACTGACATGTTTACATTGAATGTTATTTACAAATACAGCAACCATTTCAGATCAAGTTTTGAAAGCAAATCCAAACCAAGTGAGATTAAAAACGTTTTACCTTACATAACAGATTTAATTAATCACAAATGCAATAATGTGTAGGGTAACTGTAAATGAAAATAGAGATTCTTTGTGTATAAAATTGTTCTTGAGTTTTGATAACCGGGAAAAAGACTTAAATCAGTGTTGTAAATGGCTGGGAAACTTACAAGCGTTACCAATAGCTTACAAAAAAGGTTCCAACTCAATGATGGCACTTCAATGGCGGTTGTGTAAAGTGTAAAGTGACAAATGCAGTGGGTGATTGTAACAGAGGTTTACGGATTATGCTAAACTCGCTTTTCAAATGTATCTTCTCGTCGCTATATGCCGCAATCGCTGGATCATACAGGCAATAGACCAATTGCACATCACTTGGGTAAGTACGCCTGCCCAATTATTCATAACAACCTTTTCGATGATGATCCTAGATACCGGTACTTTTCCCTAGAATACATGGCCTACCGTACCTACTTAAGAAATAAAATTACAAATGTCAAAAAAACCGAACATTGTGTGATTTTTCGCATTTCCTTCTAATGTTTACTAGATACACAAAACATGGTTTATAGAATACCGTACGTCTTCTATTAAATAACAAAAAGTTGATGGGATAAGGTTGTTTTTTCAAACTGTCACCGATATGTTAACGTTAAAAGTTGTTTTCAAATCATGCAATGGGAAATAACTTTGATTTTTTATAACATTTAGTGAGAAAATCCAAAACTAAGAGAGATCAATAACCTCGGGACTTGATTTAGCCTACACATTTAGCTGGTCGGATGTACTATAGTTCTTAACTATAAACTTTGGTTTTTGGTACTGGTTCTTTGCCTTAGAACCGGTGGTAGCTGCGAGAATAATTTGTACGTACCAACACATCACTAGCCTATATCCAAATTAGTTATCCAACGATGCATCATAGTCATTATATTGCATTATATTAAAGGCCCTACCTTATTTATTAAAGTCGTAGTATTCAATTTAATTGATGTCTTACTGTAGGCTACCTATAAGTTTTGCTTTTTCTGTCTGGATTCCAAAATGTTAGTTTGTGCTAAGAAAATGATAACACATTTGAGTACCTAAAACATTTGTTGAGCAAACCATCATGAATTGTTTGCGCTTTACGTTGTTCATGTATCAACAGTTTGTGGCCTGTGTGTTGTAAATTACTTAACTAAATCGTATTTAGTACTTCATTTCACATTGTAAGCCGTCATTTCGACATCATTTCGTGTCATCTTCAGACTAAGCAAATAAAAATTGTTATGATCAAGTTTGGTGACACTAAAGTATATGTAACTTACTTTGCTTTGGTTAAAGCGTAGCAAATTTCCTAATTAAATTCTGTATTGTTGTGTGTATGTCTGTTGATAGCATATTTCTCAGTGTTCCGTACGGACAGGACAAGAGCACCTTTGATAGTAACAATTTCAACAGGAATGTTTAATAGAGAGGTTGAGGAAGTATTTTAACTACTTTTAACCATTGCGGAAAGCAACTTTCAATTAAAGGCCTACTTAGAGGTCTATGTTTCATAGATCTATAAAGCATTTTTAGTAGGGATGGACGAGATTGGATTTTTAGTTCGAGACAAGACGAGACGAGATTTTTTATTTCTCATAAAATTTCGAGACGAGATCGAGACGGGATTTCCCTTCTCATACGCAACGGGAAATGCACGTTCAAAATTTTTACCTGATTTTGTAACATTATTAGATGACTGTTTAAATACAAAAATAATGATAATAGGCAAGAATATTTACAATCTTTTATTAAAAAACATCAGCATAACATTTTTTTATTAATCACGCCTAACTTATTAAAAATGCCTACGATTAGGAAACATAGTGATATCAGTTAGGATAGAGTTCAACTTATCCTAAAATAAAATAAATCATAAAATAAAAGCAATATTAATTTTTATAAAATAGTTACTTGTTTTGACTTCTCACACTGCTTACACTTTACAAAACTTCTCAAATGTTATTAAAGTAATATTATTAAAGTAATTAAAGTAATATTTACATTTAAAGAATTAATTAAATAAGAACGCCTTCACAAAGGAAACGCAACTACAACACGCTCCTGTATTGCGGGTATAGCATTGACTTTCTGCAGGCGTTTTTAATTTAATTTTTTTATATTTTTTTTTATTCCCGTCTCGGTAAAAATCTCGGCCAAAAAGAAATCTCGTGTAACGAGATTTAAAATTTCCCGAAATTTCGAGACTTGACCATCCCTAATTTTTAGCGAATTTCCCTATAGCGAAGTAAGCTATTACCGTAAGTGGCATGGTAAGACCTAGACCCGGGACCGATTTACTTTTTCAGAGGCCAAAAACACAATTCGTTAAAATTTGTATATATGTATATACATATATATGTCCGTGAACGCGATAACTTGAGTAATATTTGTCCGATTTTGATGAAATTTGGTTTAAAGGTGTAAAACAGGATAAACTTGAATGAGTTCGCGAAACCAGCATGATCGGACTATGGGAACGGGGGTTTATGGGGGTTTTATGGGGTAAAAATTGGTTTTTCCCATTTTTGACCCTAAAAACACAAAATTTCACAATTACTTTCTAAATCATTATGGTAATTTTAGAATTCCCATGTTATTCTTATAGGCACACAGCTAGTCTATATATAAAATCCAATGTATGCTTGTCTGTGTGTCCTTTATAGACTCCGAAACCGCTTGACAGATTGTAATGAAACTTTCAGGCATTATTCAAGGATGGTTTGTATGAAGTTTGGTGCAGATCCGTCAAAAGGGCTCCGCCCCAGTGGCTCTGGAGTTTACCATGTTATGAGTACTTATATTTAAATAAATGGAATTAAAGAATCTTATCAGCTGGTTCAACTACACAATTTGATTCTGTGATGTTCAATAGCATAAAAAGTGAGTAGGTTTACCAACAGGGTGCAGAACTATTTTTTTTTTTATTTATGACAACAGCTAATTTGCAACCATAAGTTGAGTGGGCGTAGTGGACGAACTACAACTGGAGGTGAGTTAGCGTAGCGAACAAGCTAAACCTGAAGGCAAGTGAGCACAGCGAAGAGGCTCCAACCTAAAGGTGAGTAAGCTTAGCTAACAAACTTTAACCAGGACGTGATTGAGCGATGTGAACGAGCTCATCTTGAAAATAAACGAGCATTTGACATAAAACCACATTAAGACAGGACGACGTCTGTCGTGCCAGCTAGTGGCAAATAAAACATAGCAAGATAAAAAAACCACAAACCTGACACGGTTTTTCAAAGTATCTCGTATGTCTCCACTGATCAAATATTCCTTCTCGACCCAAGACTCTGGAAAATAAATAAATTTTTGCAAAATATAACTTTATCTTATATTGCAATGAATAACATTGTTAACTTAGGATATTATTTCACCATCAATCAACACACAATAAATTCATTTAGTTACGTAATTTCAGGCAAAAGATTAAAATATAGGCTAATACAGTACTATCGCATTTTGTATCTTTTTAATGGTTTTGCGTTTTATCTTGCCAAAATAGTCATACCTTAACTTTATTTGTCTTGATAACCCAGCCTATTTAAGGAGATTGCTCTGGTTTCACAAATTAGCCTAGTAACTCAGAATAGTCAGAATATTCATTACAATAATCCTAACAACTCGTCAGTTCACGCTGACAGGGTGATAAAACAATTTAGGACCTAATTTTGAATTTGGAAAAATACACACGAATATATTACTAAAAAAAACATTTAAAACTATGCAACATGTTAAAGTTAAATAAATTTAGGGTAGACTTTCAGGAAGACCTCCGCTTAGTTAGTTAGTGTTGTCAAAAAAAACCGAATGAAAATATAGTAGGCCTACTTTGGTATTATCCAGAGGCCACTTATTTTAGACAGATTTTTTTACCGGAGACCAATTGGAGTCTAACAAAACTATTTAGAAGTAGACTCCTGACCAGAAGAACTAAAATAAAGATGTATAAAGTAATAATACAACCAGTTCTACTATATGGAGCAGAAGTCTGGACGCTTAACGAAGCAAAATGAAAAGAAATTAATAGTTTTTGAAAATAAAATCTTACATAGTGTTTGGACCTATTAATGACAATGGTGAATGGCGGATAAGGAAGAACCAAGAATTAAGAGAACTTTATAATAACCCAGATATTATAGCAATGGTAAAGAGCAGAAGATTACGATGGCTGGGACATGTATATAGAAGAGATGTTAACAGTATGATTAAAAGGGTATGGATGGGGCAACCAGAAGGACGACAGCCGCTGGGATGGCCCAGATTAAGATGGAATGACCAAGTGAGGCAGGACCTCAGGAGGTTAGGAGCAAGCTTGGAGGCAGCAGAGGACAGGCAGCAGTGGAGGCACATTGTTGGCGAGGCCAAAAATCACTTGGGATTTATGTGGCCACAGAAGTAAGTAAGACCAAAAATAACTACATAATGGGAAAGATCATATACTTTAAGTGACTTACTGTCCAAATTTGACATGATTACAATTAGCGGCCTTTAAGTTCTGCCTACCAGAAGGCAGCGATGTCGGCAAGGATCGAGTTGAATGCGTCGCCGATGCTATACTCCGCCAAGTAGGTAAGCGCGCTGCCGTGGTTGATTGATTGATTGATTCTGTAGGGGCGGACTTTGTCCTGTTGCATGTCAGCCACTGATGGGTTTTTTGCGCTCCCCACATGGTACTTCAGAGTCCATCAAACCTGAGTTGCTTAATGAACTTCAGCATCCTGTCTATGAGCTCCTCCTGAGGAAGGTGTCTGCCCCTTGTCATTGCACCAAGAGTACAACAACACCAGAGTGGGGGGGGGGGGGGCTGTCCCTTACCTCGTTCAGAGCTGTGCAGTCGTAGGGTAGGTGATCAGCAGTGTCCTCTGATTGCCCACATTTTCTACACGCAGTGTCTCCATTGTGGATCCTCAAGCAATGCAGGTGCAATTTCAGGTAGCCATGTGCAGTGACCATTCCTGTGATCTGTCTGAGTTGCCTCCTGTCTAAACGTAGAGCATTGGAGGCGACCGTCTGGGAAGGGGAGAAGAGGGTGAACTTACTTACCCTATGGTGCTGAAGCCTAACCCATCTTTTCCTGTGTTCCTCTTGAGCCCATGACATGACTGAGTGACATGCATGCCCAGGAGAGATTCCACAGAAAGGCTGTGGTCCCACAAAGTCTGAGGCTGACGCAACATTTGCTAGCTAGCCTGTCAGCCACCTCATTCCCTTCCATCCCTGAGTGCCCAGGAAGCCAACAGTGTTACCTTTGTTACGCCTGCCCAGGTCGCATACCGCAGAGAGGCAGTCCCAGACCACCTTAGAATTGAATTCAAAGGAGTCAAGCGTTTTGAGCGCAGCCTGGCTGTCTGTAAAAATGGAAATGTTGATGTCCCTGAAGCCTACCCTCAGGTTTTCCCTACACATTCCATTATCACAGTCATTTCGGCCTGGAACACAGTTGGGTGAGTATAGGAAGACAAATGTCCACCCCGTTCTGCACTCCATGAATTCCAGCCCCAGTCCCACTTCTTACCTTTGAACCATCAGTATACCATTCAAGGTCGCCTTGTGGAAGAGGATTCCCACCAGACATCCACTCATCCCTGGATGGATGAAGGACAGTGAATGGTCTGGCGAAGAAGAATCTGATCGGCATGTGGTCCGAGGGCATGTCCATTACCTCCCCTCTTATCTGCCGAGTGATCCGAGAGTGACCTCGGGATCCTCCAACATCCAACCAAAGGTTTTCACACTGGAGTCCGTAGACCGTGGTTATGTTAGGTTGGGTTATCATAAATATGATTATAGTACTTTCCTCGTTGCAATATAATCAAAAGATTCCAGATTGAGTCATATTTTTGCCCGCCAAATACCCCAGATACTGGAGGTGAAAGGTAATGCGAGCTCTCCAGTTAACGTCAGGTCGTTGGCTTACTTGAAGGTGATTTGGTGTGTGGATGTATGACTCATCTGTTAGGACTCAAAGTCCTACAAACATAAGTATTTATAATAACCCAACCTTACATAGCCGCCAGCGCACTTTATAAGGGTGGTCTCCGGAATACCAAAGTACCAAAAATATTGATCGATAAATTAACTACTGTATTCGATATATCCATTATTTCATTCACTACCGGTACCTAACTTATACCGATAGTTAGTTAGGTTAGGTTAACAAACACCAAACAATATATCCAATTAAATATCGATCCATGTTTTCATTCAGTTGTTTTTGACAACAGATATGAAAGTCTACCCTATATTAAAAAATACTTAGCAGGTTTAAACACCAAACTCTAGTATGAGACAGTTATCTACGCTTAGCCTAGGCCTATGTTCATGCACATAGAATCCTTCCAAAAATCTACAGTTTAAGTACCGCTTGCCCTCACTAACTCAAGTTGTCTTTTCTCTCTCTCATGAAAACGATTTAACTTATAGAATCATACTGCAAGTTTGGTTAGGTTTTTCTTAGTTTAACCAAATTAGGCGTGAATGCTTAACTTATTATTTCGTTGTAAAGTTGTACCTTATAAAAACATTTTACATTTAAGTTAAGGTAGGCACCTAGGCTATACTAAGTTAAATAACTTATTACCTGAGTTGGCTGCACTTTACTTTACGTCCTACATTCATTCGAATGAAAATATCGATCGATAAATCAATTATTCGATAAGTTATATCGTTTGGTTAGTTAGGTAAGGTAACCTAATCAACCAAATGATATATCGAATGAAACAAACAAATTCGATATTTTCATTCGAATGAGTGTAGGACGTAAAGGAAAGTGCAGCCCATGAGTTTTTATTTAAGACGTTACCATAAGCTTATTTCTTTAAAAATTTAAATTATTTTTGTACAAAGAAAAAGTTTCAGGACACAATAATAATAAGCCTGGCATAGCCTAGATTGTTAATACATTTTACCTGTTAAGAAGACTAACGGCTTCATCCACATTTCCATTGCGAACTAGAACAGTTCTGGCAACAAAATAAGCATGTTTCATATTTTGAGATTATTGTGTGAAAATGAACGGTGCAGTTCTCTGAAGAAAGGACTGAGAAATTGAATAATAGTCTGCACCTGCACCACCTGCACTGCACTACTTACTACTGGCACTAGCAATTTGCTAGTAGCAAAGCAATAGCAATTAGCAATAGCAATAGCAAGCAATACGCCAATACGGTTAGGTGCGCCGCAGTTCGCCTATTGTCCGCGAGGTGTCACCACTTGAGGTCCGCAACAGTTAGTTTGTTTAGTGATCGCAAGATGTCGCTAACATCGAATTGACATACTCATAGTTCGCAGTTTCTTTTTTATCAGTAATATAAAATAAATAAACTACAAAATCAAATTAAACTCAAGCTAAAATAAACTAATTGTTAAAAGCTAAACAATAACACAAATTTATCTTGTGAAACCTTTTAAGTTAAAAGAAATCCCCTTATTCGCTAATATGTTCTCGCATTGATTTGTGAGTATCTAGAACATAAGTAGCCCGATTGCTGGATTTTAAGTTACTCATGTTAGGCACATCATACTGTGTCTAGGGGCTTGTATTCGAAACTATCTTTATCTTTGAAAAGCCGAGAGTCGTGTTTGCATGCTGAAACCGACGATTGGCTTATAATACCTATCATCACCACAGCTAAGTTTAATTAATTGGCAGTAGTAGGAGTAGGCCCAGTACGACGACCACCACAATACACTGAGCTATAAGTAATTCTAACTGGAGGTAGCACTGAATGTCAAAGATGCGTGTCGCCAGCCGCCATGTTTGCGTGAGGTGTGAGTTATAAAGAAGCCATGTTATTGGATGAAAAAACTCACAGCTATACAGACCTAGTTATAGAAGCCATGTCATTGGTTAAAAAAACTCACTGCTATACCAACCTAACAAAATCAGCGACACGCTCTTGACAGACTTCTGCCATGGCAGTGCTACCTCCCCCTCCAATTATTATTTTAGCTCAGTGCCACAATGCCCACAATACATTGGTCTTTGGACTTTGGAGGTTAAGTAACTTGAGGGTTAGCTTTATAAAGCCATTTACCACTTTTTTGATTAATATTTAATTTAAGTGCCAATGAGAATTTAATGTGTAAAGAGTGTTAACTGTCTGAAACAAAGATTAACTTAACCTGTAATTTTCTGGGAAATTTGAAGAAAATGACTAACTTCAAGTTTTACTCAAGGAACAATAAAATTGCAGTGACTTCAGTTATATTTTATGAAACATACATTTTGGCTGGTAAGCATGTTACTTGTACCTCCCTTGAACAGCTACCAGACTGATATATAGGCCTCTGGCCTAGCCTAGTTGATAAATAGATTTTTTAATCATTAAGTTAAGTTACATACATAAGTTACACACATACATAAATAACAATAGGCCTACATAATAAGTTACATGAAATGCAATTGATCATATCAACATGGATACTAGGTAATATGGAGAATTACAGAGCCACTGGGGCGGAGCCCGAAAGGATTTGTTAGATATGTAAGATAAGAATAAGTTAGGGGTACAGTTTCTTAACTGCGCAATTCTAATATTGATTGAAACTATCGATTCGATTAGTAAACCTTCATGCGATATTTTTCACCATCAGCAAGTTTGGTTGGTTAGGTTAGGTTACGATAGTTTAATTTTATAATAAACTTAAGATAGAGATGTTTTAAAATATCGATTATTAATCAATATTTTCAATTCGATAGTTTCAATCAATATTAGCGTAGCCCAGTTAAGAAACTGTACCAAGAACTGCCCAAGAATAGGCATGTTAATCGGGCATGGCTATCATCCTGCCAAGGTGCGTGGTTGTAGCCTACTTCAGACAAACACACAAACATTCACATTTATGTTGTTTCTAATAGGCCTCAAAATACTATGGCAACAGTAGCTCTAACAATAAATAACAAATAATATAACAATAACAAAAGCATAAAGAGATTTGAACGTAATAACAATAATAAAGAGCAACAATTTAAACTAGAGCACCATTTTACTATGTAATTTCTAAATGGCAAAATCAGAATCAGAAATCCGAAATTTAACTTAAATCGATAATCCTTTTCTACGAAACACTACTCCTCCGTTAATGATGGACGAATTTTTACAAACGATGTGTCAGAATAAAGTATTTTTTTTGTAGACGCCCCCTTTCACCAATTCCTGTAATAAAAGTCCTCGGGCTTTGCCCCACAGGCCATCAAAATCTCAATGTATTTCTTATGATAAAAGATTTTGTTTACTTAAACGGACGAATAATATGTATTAATTACAGCTGTTCATAGTAAACACATTATAAACACAAGAGCGTTAGTTTTCAGAGTGAGTTTGTTTTTAGTTTCGATAACTGGAGTGCGAGTGATTGATTTTTTTTTTTGAGTTGACTCTTTTAAGTCATCGGAAACTATGACTGTCATTGAAATAACAAGTGAAGGCCCTAATACTATGCAATTGCTCGAATTCGTGCAACAGTTGCACTAGTAAGAATAAAATACTGGTAACAATAATAAATTACATTAAATGTGTTAACTTAGTGGTGGATGAAAGTGAAAAGTGTAACTTAATCAGGTGATTTTCAAATTAAATCAGGGATACCGGTAGCTAATAAAGTTGCCACTTCCCATTAGCTTGACAATGTATGATTGAAAATAATCAGCTGTTGGCTTACTTCATCCACAGTTCATTCCACTTGTAAATATGTCATCCACCCTACCTTGTTTATTGTAGGTAATGTATATTTTTATGGCAATATCTTGAGAAATATTGATCAGCGGTGAAAAATAATGGTACTACCTGGATTCAGGAGTTGTACGAAGTTAGACATCAAAATTAAAAATCGGTTTGGAGGCATGTATAGCCAACGGAATAATTAATTATCCAACATTTATACTTAACTTAAACTTAATCATAATGAAAAACAAATCTCAATGAAAGTTCTATAAAAATCTACAATTGAGTTAAAAGCCTTGTACATAAGTCAATATCTATTGTCTCTTTAAATTTAGTTTTGTTTAATAACTTGTAGCATGGCGGAAGCACATATTGTACAATCTCAGCCAAGAATACAATGGAGATATTTCTGGTGGGATTGGGCTAAAATTTGGGGTGATGATAGCTCACATTCCCATTTCATTGCTGTGATGATATAGACACATTCTTATCTCAAAAATCCTTTCGGGCTCCGCCCCAGTGGCTCTGGAGTTTCCCATGTTAACCGTATGAGGATTCATATTTAAAACTAATAAAATAATTTTGTCAGCTGTTTCAACTAACTTACACAATTAAGTTCTATGATATTAAATAGCATTAAAAATTTGTAAGGTTTACCAACAGGGGGCGGGGCAGCACTATTAATTGTTTTTGCATTTATGACAACAACATCTAATTTGAACCAACTACCAACAAAAAGCTCTTGAAAAATGAGAATTTCACGTTTTTTATTGTTTAGGTGTAGTGGTAGAACATTTTGGCTATGGTAGATGTGCTGTACTATGGCATACCGGTACCGTAAATTAAAAGAACAAAATTTTCTTAAACCGGGTCCTCTCCCATTGCAAACGCAAAGCACGGGTATAGCTGCAATAAGCATTTTATACTCATACCCCAACTCCGTACGAAGGACGGGTACTCTGCTAGTACTACATATTTGAGTAAAACATAAGGGTTTGTATCGCTTTCCCTGAAAAAAAAAAACATTTATAAGTACTCTCTCCAAAATCTCTTTCTGGAAAAAAATACCACTGGCGTCTAGACATCGATAAAAAAGCTCAAACCTTTTTCAGGTATTGGAGGAGATTTATGTGTATATGAACAAAAAAAGAAAAATGATATATATTCAATTTTTCATGGTTCTGTTATACATGGAATTGTGCCAAATTTGAAATCAACCCAACTGTGTGTGCATGGTGGAAGGCAAGTGGGAATAATCAAAACAAATCTAAAGATGACGTCAGATAAAAGGTCAGTATCAAGCTGCTTATGCTTTTAGCACTTCCAAGATAGCAACCAAGATAGATTTCCAAGATAGATTTATATTTTATTTGGTGAGTCGGTGGCTCAGTTGGTAGCGTCGCGGACTTCTGGCCCAAGGCAGAGATGTCGTGGGTTCGGATCCTGGTCACTGCCACAAACTTTTATCAGTACAGTTCACCTTTGTACTGTACCGGCTCACCCCTTGCTTTGCTGGATACGTTCCACGCACAGATCAGTAGTCTATCTGGATGGGCAAATGCAAGGTTAAAAGAGGCCGCCAACCTCTTAAAAAAAAATACCCACGCCGCAGCAAACATGCAGACTAAGCAAATTTCCATTTGAATATTGTTAAATTTATTAATTTTATATATTTTTACGCCATTAAAGTAATATTTTAGTAAAATCCAATCAGGCGAATGGAAATTTGCTTAGTTTGCTGCACCAGAGGTAGAGGTATTTATTTATAAAATCAGGGAAGAACCTCCATGTTGCAAAAGTTCAGTTGTTATTATTACTCTGCTTGATTTAGGCCTATATAACATTTGTTTAAAGTAATTGCCTATGACCTGTGTTTGAAAGTAGTTATGTAAAGGTCTGTTTGAGCGCAGGGTGAGGGTGAGAGCAGTCCTAGAACGGGATAAAAGTCCTAGAACGGGATAAAGTCCTAGAACGGGCTCCTCAAAATCCGACACTCAGAGAGCGGTCTTCTGCAGTTCTAGAGCAGTTCTGAGAGCAGTCCTAGAACGGGATAAAAGTCCTAGAACGGGCTCCTCAAAGTCCGACACTCAGAGAGCGGTCTTCTGCAGTTCCTTTTCATAGAATCTGCCTATAATTTATTCCCCATTTTGATCAGTGGTCTTATAAGTAACTAGTCTGGTGTTTAAGATTTACGCTATTGTAAATATTTCCGAAGTCCAGTTTTATTTATATTTATTGAATGTTGACCTTGAATAACTGCTACTCACTATGACGCAACATAGAATAATCTAGATTGGAGTCAGATACGCGACTTACCATAGAACAATCTAGATTGGAGCTAGACACCTATATAAAGTATGTTGTCTGCTTGAACTGTCAGTTGTGTTAGAAGTGTTAGTGAAGCGTGTTAAGTGAGCGTGTATAGTCTGGGGTTTACTCTGAC